CTAGCATATATACTTGAATAGCAGCACCGCAGCCGAGGGACATGAGATGAGCACAACAACTGCGCATGTATGACGCACTCACGATAAACCTAGAATTGGGCGTGGTGGAAAATGGAATAGGTTATTACTAGGTCGAGTATTTGGGATAAATGAGATACGTTGAGCCAAAATTCAGGTGGTCCATAGACCACCTGAACACCCACTTGGAGCCACCTCTGCACAATGTTTAGTAGTTTAAAAAGTGTACTAACGCAAATTAAGGTAAAATCCACTATCTCCATCCCAATTTAATCATCCCTTAAGATATTTTCAAATTATTCATCATCTAACCAGTTCTATTTGTTTATTCTTGCAGAATTAAATGACATCGTTGCGTGTTTGTTCGTTTACGTGTGCAGAATAGGAGGAGTAATGTCATCGTTACATATCTCTTTATTTATCTGTGCATGAGTAAATACCATCGTTGCTTATTTACAAATATGATGATAAATTGAGAAGAAAAGAGCATATCTTAATTAAAAGAAAACACCACCTTAAACTTTAGAAATCTATAATATCCTTACGAAGTTTTAGAGGGGGGAAAAGCATAGCGTGATGCATTGATCACTTTGGTGCATGAGTGAGTGACAATGTGGCCAATAACGGCAGGCCTTAATTAAGACTTTAATCATGGTTGCAACAACCATGATTAATAAACACGCGTCAACGTTGCTATGATCTGGGTTTGTAATTAATATAGTGCGTTCCCCTTTTAATCCTGTCCGTGCATTTGTACGGGCCGTTTAGATGAAATGCTCCCTAAAAGATCTAAATACGAAGGAATGACCTAATATTAAATAATTAAAAGGGGTGAGACTTCAAACTCAGGTCGTCTAGTCCATCATTTTGTAGAGCCAACCGGAAAACTTCGGGGTGTTTCTATAAAATACTCCCCTCTCAGTTCACTAGCTTGCTCTACCTTTCTGTCTTATCAAAATTAATGTTGCAAGCCCCTTTCTGAAATAAAAAGGGAAAAACTCTGCATGTGCATTGTTGAAAAATAGGAAGAAATGTTGCTATGTCCTTGTGGGTTGGGCAGAGTCGCAGAGACAACCTTAGAAATTACTACACGAAGAAAAAAATTGCGACCACACTTCTTTGAGAAATAAAGTATGCTGTTTCTAAAAAAAAGTCTGGATCTTTTTTTGGAAAATACAGGATTAGAAAAAAAAAGTGTTAGAAATACAACGTGTAATGTAGGAGTTCTGAAAAGTACTGGAAGATAGCCCGCTCATTTACACGGGAATGCATCACGGCTGCATTTCATATCTTATAAGGTATAATATTGACCACATAATACAATTTCTTCACAATTTTTTGTCAACATTGCTTAGATATTTTTTCTATCATATTAGTTAGCTTTACATCGTCAATATTTAATTAATCCCTATAAGCAATTATCTATAATCTTCATCGTAGGTAACCTAAGTTTGTTTAGAAGAATATGTAACAAATTAAGTGTAATTTAAAAGTATGGTGTTTTTGTTTATGAATTGGATTCTTATGGGTTAACTTTTTCTAATTTTTAAGATGTGATATGATTCGACTTAAAGATTTTTCTAAAAGTAAATTTAAAGGTTGAAAATAATATTAATAGGTCATTGATTTATGGGATTGAGGATTGGGTCCCGACTGGGATGTTCACTGGGGACCTCTTCGGCGACATGGTTCCTCGCACCTCACTCTCCATCACGGGGTGCTGGAGGGCAAGAAGGGCCTTGAGCTATTGGTCCTATTGTAGCCAAGAAGGTGTTGTTGAGGTCGGCTATTGTAGAATGTATCTATCCGACCCAGTGGTCTGCCTCAGGGAAAATGACTGGATTGAACGGAGTTTGTCTCAATAGCAAGTTGACCGCAATAAGGCGTTCGACAGGAGTTCGAACGGGGTCCGAGGGTTCTCTAAGAGCACCAAGAGCTAGATCACGCGGTTTATCCCCTGAACGAAGTTCACCATCTTCGCGTCTATCATGAGTGACTCCGGATTAAAAATGACAAGGTATTATAACCTTGTTCTTACAATAAAAGAAACCCAAAGACATAGCAACAAAGAAAAGGAGGCTCTGGATCAAAAAATACCACAATACCACAATAGATATAAGCAGACAAGTATGCAAAATTAAAATTAAATAAAAAGGCATTAGCCCCCATCTTTATTCCTCTCACAAATCAAGAAACCCAATTAGTTAATCAATGACCTGACATACGAGCATTTTCAAACCTTCATTGGAGAACTTACAAACAAAATAACCGCTGACAAAATCATAGGAAAAGCACTAAGAGACTAACAAAATCTAATTTCATAAACATTGTGAAGAACAAACCCTAGACTCTTGACATATTTAAATCTTTCTAAAGACTTTAATTAAAAATGCATAGAAACTTATTGAACATATGAAGAGATCTCCTATTTCCTCGCCGCTAACATGGGCACTAGAGAGGGGAGAAGGAATGGGACGAAAGGACAGTAATAGCTAAGGGCCCCCCCAAAACCCGGAGCCATACATTCTTTTTACATAATAGATTGAAAAAACGGTCTCGATATTACAGTGAGAATCTTAAACTCAAGGTGACAAGGAGACATTGGAGGTGGTTTTTCAAATTTACATGGTATTTAGATGATACAAAGCAAGCAAGATAAAGATACATTGTTGATATCAAATAATCCTGATTTCGCCCCTCGGCCGGCGTGACAACGCTGCGTCCAAAAAAGTTCCAATTTTCGCAATGAGTTTGGAAGAGATTTTGTTTCTAAATTCAAAAAAATGAAAAAGAAAATAAAAATGTTGGATCACTGCCATGCATGGGAATGAAAAAGTCCGATCCTGCATGCAGCCATCACTGGTTGGTTAGTGGTTACGTTACGGTTGGTGGATGGCAATGCTAGGGAAATGAATCGTGCATACGTGCACGCATCATGTATCTCTCGGCTCTCGCAGTGGTGGCCTGGTGGGTGGGGAGGATGTACTTACAGTGATAAGAGTATGTTATGGTGGTGTTTGAAAGTTCTGAAGATGAAGATGAAGATGGAGATTAAGTGTTTCACGCAAAACGTGGTTGTAATAACATGTGATTAATTAAGTTTTAATTATTTCAAACTTGAAAAATAGATTAATATGATATTTTAGAGCAACTTTCATATAGAAAGTTTTCACACGAAACGCACCGTTTAGTAGTTTGAAAAGCGTGCCACGAGTATCCAAAATTTAATCCAATTTTAGTTGGAGAAAAGAACAGGGCCATAGTCTCCAAGTGGAAAAGAAGATAATTTTGAGTTGTGCCCACACATGGCATATGGTGTGGTGCTCGCTTTCATTTATCACTTTCCTCGATTAGTAGTGCCCATCCTATGGGAAAGCGGAAGTACGTACCTACATAGCCGATCCTGTGGGAGAAAATAACTTTTTGTCGTGTTTTTCTCGACTGGTTTCTGCTTTTATTCGAACGAGTAGTCAAGTAGGAGTATATATAGCATCCTTGTATTGTTACACGCTACACGGGTGACACAGAGAAATAGTTTTTTTTAGCCGGGCCGGCCTAAGAAAGACGGACCAAATTTACTTAATAAAAGGAGTATTTACACATATACAAGTTTCAGTATCGAAGTGAAAGGATGTTGCCACCGCAGCAACTTCCTAAAAGAAAAAACAAGTTACAGAAGGTTGTTACTCTCCTAAAACATTGAAAACCCCAGCTTCTTTCCAGATTACCGCTTCATCTTTAATTGCGCCAAACAGGAACCCCGTTGTTCGGCTCTGATTCTGGAATACTCGCGCGTTTTGCAGCAAATAGTTACACACAACACAGATTACATTAAGCATTCTATTGCAAAAAGAAAAAAAAGTACCGTATGTAACCAAATTGAGAAATGTTATGGGCCTTCAGCAATAGGAGAATTATCACGAGTCATTAGTTTATTTGATTTCATTTACCTGATACATTCTGCAATTCCATAGCAAAGATACAGTATACATGATGCAAATGAGGAAATTATATACCCCCAGAAAACTGCTCCATGACTTGTGGTAACTAAAAGAAGGTCGTTCTTGGCAGGTATTTCGGTGTGCGCTATTCTGCTGCTTAGCTGCATTTTTGCACAAATGATCGAATGCCAGAAAAGAAAGCTGATGAAAGAAAAAAGGAAAGGTTCTTTCAACAAAATGGGGATCTGCTGCTGTATGAGCAAATCCGGTCAAAGCAAGTTGATACTGTGAGAATATTCACAAAAGAAGAACTAGAGAATGCAACAGACAATTTTGACTCAAGCAGAGAACTAGGGGCCTGTTTAGTTGGTGAAATGAAAATTTTTGGATATCACATCGGACGTTTGACCGGATGTCGGAAGGGGTTTTTGGACACAAATGAAAAAACTAATTTCATAACTCGCCTGGAAACCGCGAGACGAATCTTTTGAACCTAATTAATTCGTCATTAACACGTGTGGGTTACCGTAGCACTTATGGCTAATCATGGCCTAATTAGGCTCAAAAGATTCGTCTCGCGATTTACATACAAACTGTGCAATTGGTTTTTCTTTTTATCTATATTTAATGTTCCATATATGTGTCTAAAGATTCGATGTGATGTTTTTGATAAAAGTTTTTGGGAACTAAACAGGCCCTAGGAAGAGGCGGTCATGGCACTGTATATAAGGGGATTCTCAAAGACAACAGATAAAGCGCTCAAAGAGTATGAATATGATTTGAGAAAGATGAATTTGTGCAAGAGATGATTATACTTTCACAGATCAACCACAGGAATGTGGTAAAGGCTTCTAGGTTGTTGCTTAGAAGTGGAAGTTCCCATGCTGGTCTATGAATTCATCCCAAATGGCACCTTGTTCGAGCTTATACATGGTAAATATAGTAGAATAACATCCATTTCATTGGATGCTCGTCTACGGATTGCTCAGGAATCTGCAGAAGCTCCAGCATATCTACATTCATCAGCATCCCCTCCAATCGTTCATGGCGATGTCAAATCTCCAAATATTCTCCTAGGTGACAAGTACATAGCAAAAGTGACTGATTTTGGAGCATCAAGGATGCTTCCAAAAGATGAAATACAATTTATGAAAATGGTACAGGGGACTCCAGGCTACCTAGACCCAGAATACTTAAAAAGTTACAAGAGCGCCAGCTAACAGAGAAAAGTGATGTTTATAGTTTTGGAGTTGTGATTCTAGAGCTAATTACAGGAAAGACGGCAATTTATTCTGACAGTGCTGATGAAAACAAAAGCCTTGCATCATCCTTTTCCTTCTGGCACTGAAAGAGAACAGGCTTCAATCTATCTTGGACAAGAACATATTAGGTGTTGGAACAGAGCTGTTCCAAGATGTTGCTCAACTGGCAAAATGTTGCTTGAGTACAACGGGGGGAGAACGGACATTGACGACAGAAGTAGCTGAAAGGTTAAAAGCAATAAGAAGCACCTGGCGTGAACAATTGATTGAGAGTGCTAACGGTGAAACTGTATGTTTGCTTGAAAACTCATGACAGTATGACCCTTCCATCACTGGACAAAGTGGAAGCTTGATGACACTACATTTAGAAACTGGTAGACGATGAGTATGAAAGTACCAATGAAAGGTTATAGCAGAGTTTCGATTAGCATTTCCTGACATAAATATCTTGTAAAAATGTATCGTTCATGTTCAACAATAAAAACTACAGGAAATCAATGAGAACTTACATTTGACATGATTTTAACTTACATTTGACATGATTTTATGAGGTTCAGTATGTCCGCACAAAGATTTGCCATGGAATGATCTGTCCCCTTTTTGTTTTGCCTGATGGTTTGTCCTACTTTCACCATGGAAGATCTTCAGAGAAAGACATAGTTGGCACTTCAATACTGGAAGTGGATGACTTCAGTGATGCAGAGGAAGATTGGAAAGATGCTGGGAGGTCAAGATGGAGAGTTGGACTGTTGGAGACTATGAAGAGTTCCTGGAAAACAACCACCTTTTGCCTCTTTGTTACTTGCTCACTTTTGAAACTTGGTTGAGATGGATGGAATGGAACTTGTTCCTGAAGAGCTGGTTGGGATGGCGCCAGTTTCTCTAGAAGAGGAGCTCTGCTCGTCTCTTGTCTTCGTTTTGTTAAACCTCTAAAACTTCTTCACACCTCTAGTTATGGAAATGATTTTTTTTTTGTGAAAACATGGAAGTTGGCGCTAATACATAGAAATAGAATTACATCACAAAGGATGGGAAAAAATCAATATATCAAAATAAAGGCCCAAACTATAGATCATTTCTCGAATGATAAATTAAAGTAGGGTGAAACATGATTAGAAATGTTAGACAAGATAGTACACTAACGAGCCTTTTCTGCCACAGTGATCACAATACACTCTTCTGTGAATAAACAACAACTGACGATTGAAGGTCTCTATCAACCTTGAAGTGGGAGTGAAAAAATCTCCTAACCTGCCAAACAGGACACACGTTATGATGTTAGGGAATGGGAAAAACTAAGAATAAGAGAGAAAATATTTTAATTATCATGTCATCATGCAATGTAGTGCTACCTATCTGTTTTTAACATTTTAAGAGAGAGCTAATTCACAAATTGTAACTACAATAAACTATTAACTACCTGAGTGCAACAAACAATAACCTTATTGTATTTTTGCCATCAATTGCAAAGCAAAATAGAACTTATGTCAGATGCTCACCTTTCAACCTGATGACAATTCTTTCTAGGAAGACATAAATTCACAAAAGAATTTAGTAATACACTGGACACATAATTCTTGAGAACAGGATACTTGGGAGTCATCTGATCGTGCATAAAAAAAAGAACTAAAACATGAAGGGGGCAAAGACAACTTAAAAATGCAGCCCATCTTTTTATTTTAGACATTTCTTTATTTTAGTTGAATCAACTAAATTGTAAGCCTTATAGAAGAACTTGCCAATCTGGACAATAGCTTTGATTTTTTCCCCACTTTTTTATTAGAAATAATCAGTTCCCTCTGGACATCAGCAGTCCAATATCTGACTTTGATATTAATTTTCATATGCATATGCTAGTGCAAAATTATATTGCAAATCTAACGGTATCAATTCCACATTACTAATTTAAAAGGCATTTTAGACAATTACTGGTCGAACTTAGAGAATTTAGGGTATTACTAAAACATCATATATTTATAAACAGGCTACTAAATAAATGCGTATACCTATTGAACTGAGGGAAGAAGAGATTTTTAAGATTCAACAGTGTTTTACCTCTTGAAATGAATTGCGCAGAAGCAACTTGACATGCCTTTCTTCAGATTCAAATAATACAATATGACTGAACGAAGATAAATTTCCAAAAACCTCGCCCACAAAATCTGCTGGGTTCATGAGGAAACGGTCTGACTCATCCAAGGTCCCTTTGTTTTCACTGGTAACATGCAAACTAAGTCAGGATAATTGGCTATGATGGGTACAACATGGTAAAAAGAAATGCTATATCTACTGGACTAGAAACAATGAAAGAATAATCACCTAGGAGTACAGTCCAAAAAGCGCATAGGTAGGTTGTAATGTAATGTAGAGTAATAAGGTGTCGAATGGCAAGGCATAAGGAAGAGGACACTCTTTACTCTTCCATCATGGGCTTCTCGTGATAGATAAAGCATAGCATCTTCAGTTCCTCTCTGACATAATGAAAAGGTACACATACACATAACAGAAGTAAAGGAATCTTGAAAAGAAAAGTTAACTAGGCACAAATAGAAAGCAACCAAATTAACCCAAAACACACACATAAAGAACATGTTTACTTAAAGTAGTACTTACTTGATGGTATAAGGACATATATAAAGCCATTGGAACATTTGTTAGGATGAGCAGAATGACAGAGAGCTTCAACCTCGAAAGTCGTCCTTTCTCATTGTGACCTTTTCCCTTGAGTTGTGCCATTGCAGCTAAGTTATGTCCTGAGAACATGAACATAAAAGGAAGCACCGGGAGAACAAACCTGTTGTATCCGATCCATTTATATCAGGGCATGTGTGTACTAGTCTAGTGATAAGAGATTGAACATTACAAACTTGTGCGAAGAGATAAGTACCTGAATTCTTTATGTCCAAGTATGCTATAAACCACTAATACCCAGACAATAAGACCTGCAAGCCTCCATTCTCGAGACTTCAAAATTCCAGAAATGGAAAACGGTAAGAAAGTCCAAATCATCGATGGAAAACCTTGGCTGAAGTACCAGTGGAACACATGTGTTCCATAGTAGTCTCCTCCTGAAGAGAAGAGGTTAAATTTCAAAAAATTAAGTGGCACTATGATCCGGGAACCATACATCCAACAATCAAGAAACGTTGTCACGGCAAGGACAAAGACCCTGCAGACAGATTAGAAAGCATGTAAGGTTTATAAAAGTATTCCTCAATTGTGAGAAAAAGAAAACATGACCTTACAAGAAAAGCAATGCTTCAATCATCAAGCGTTTGGATAACAAGGCAATCCTAATTCTAACAAAATAAACTGAAGGGATCAAGAGAGCTCATCTAAGAAATGATATGCATAATGCTGATGACACGATAAACAATCTATCGCACGTGTCCTAAAGCTAGTGTTTGTGCATAACCATCTTACTTATGACCATATGGTAATCAACCATGCATTCTTCCTTTTGGTGCCATTTGGCATGACAGATGGTAATGCTGATCCTTCCTGTCTTGAACAATGTGAATGACTTTCTTAACAACGGTGCAGCATGTGGAAACACATACCTACTATCCAATATGTTTGGTGTGTTTTTCAGAAAACCTACTAGCGAGACAACTTACCATGGGCAACAACATCCTAAATATCACCAGCATAATGCTTATTCAATGCGAAATTTCAATAAATAATAGGCATTAGCGTTATGATGCAAAAATTCAAGAAATAACAGAGATAAGGGCATTATAAAAATTTGCCATAGACAGCATCCTAAATTCATCCAATTTATACATATCCAGTGCAAAAAACCGAGAACGAAATATACTGTGAGAATAAGTTTGACATGAATTTTAAAATAGTTTCATACCCGAGCGGAACGACCTCGAGAAAAATAAACCGGGATTTTGATTTCATCTGAATAAAATCCAAAAGACCAACATATAGCCATGTTATGGCACTTGTTGGCCGAATAGCACAAGCTAAGGCTGCTATGAGTAGAGCCATTTTTCTTGATGGAGGGCTTTGCTTGCTGGCAGCCTGCTGCTTTGAAACAACCGAATTTCCCTTTACAGACTCTATTGCAACAAACCAATAGTAAAGTCCAGTAACAGTCAAAACTGTCTCCATGCTGTTTGAGAGAGTCCGTGTAATACAGAAGAACATGAACCAGTTAACAAGCTGTGAAAATAGCTGGAAATGACTTGTTAAGGTCACCATTCACCAGGAAAATGGACTTGTTTATTTACGAAAAAGGAACATCATATCTACATAAATGAGTTCAAGGATACTGCCCACTGGGCAACGTGATTATTGAAAATGAGTTTTGAAAGTTTATATAAGTAGAGATCCCCAAAAGATGCAAAGACTGATTGTAGAAGACGTGGAGCCATCGCCTGTGGGGAAAAAAAAACAAAGAAAAAATAAGAAAATTCTGCTTCTCAGTGCGTAAAAAAAATAAAGCCATGCAGAGAGGAGTGATATTTGATTCACATATATATAGGTTTCCTATCCTTTTATAGTGAAGGACTTGTTTGCTTAGGATTGAGATTGAACATAGAACAGGATACAAATTGTGGATTGGTTAGAATTAAGAACCCAACTGTAAGCTATCCCAATCAATTCCCAACTAAGAATCTAGTTACATGAGAAACTGTTGATACTGAGCACTTCTATTTCTTTTACATGTGACTTAACACCATGACTCAAACCAGAATCCTATAACTCTAAGCTTCATTTCTAATCTTCATTCAGAGAAATACACAAGAATTTTTTGGCGTGAATTCAAAAAATAGTTACCATGAACCATGGGGAATCCAAGTGGAGCAGCGAAAGAATCTTGTAGAGAGCAGCAAAGATGAAGGGGTGGAGGTAACTTCGAAGACCACGCTTCCACTCCCAAGTAAGGTGGCCATACCTGCAACGAACGAACAGAGAAGGCTCACAAAATGCAGCAGCTTAAGCATCCCACTCCCTTGGACTGGAGTGCCCGCTGGATTCGAAGCTAAACACCGGCGAAGAGGGCGGCGAGTTTTACCCGAAGACGATGCGGTGGGCGACCTCGAGGCACTGCCAGTGCTCGTCGGGGTTGAAGTAGGTGCGCACCAGCAGCGCGTTCGCCGCGCGGAAGGCCAGCGCCAGCGCGAGCACCCTTCGCTCCGATCCCAGCGCCCACGCCCACGGCAGATCCGGCCTCTCCTCCCCCGTCGAAGAGGCCTCTGCGGTGGACGAGCCGCCGATGCCTTCGGGAGGCGGCGGGCCAGCGGCGTTACGTCGCCTGCGGTGGCTCATTTGCAGCGAGGCAGCCACCACCTTCCGCGCTTTGTCTAGCGCAAGGCTAGCGATGGGGAGTGGAAGGAGGACGAGGAGGAGGCGCAGCCGTCGCCGTCGCCGGAGTCGCGGAGGAGGAGAAGGAGCCGCTTATCGCCGTCGCCGGAGTCGAGGAGGAGAGTGAATTTCTCCCTATGGTTTGGGCCTTTTGGGCTGTGGAAATTCACTCTCCGGCCCATTTCAACTGCATTTTCGGCCTGCAGAAAAAAATATTAAATTCGAAATCTATGGGATTACATCCTGAAAAAAAAAAGAGATTGAATTCGAAATCTTTCAAAACCAACAGAAGCAGCATAAGGGATGATCATCCTGAACAGTTGTTGTAATCATATCTGATAAGAATATCCTCACAACTAGGCATTACCAACCTTGCATCGTGCCGTGAATCATATAGGTTTCTGCAAATACACCACAGGGTATTTTTTTTGTCTCTGATTTTTTCTATGTTATATACAATATGTTGCTGGGTTTGCCAAGTTCTAATATGCCATTGCATTTTTCTGAATTTTTATGATATACTATAGTCGTCTGGTTTGTCTTTGTTAAAATTGTACAATTTTATTATAATGACCAAAATACCGCTTGGATGAAAAATTCCAAATATCAGACGAACAACTTTTTTGCATAGTTTATAATATGATATTTAAGTTGAGCGTATGATTGAAATCATCAGTGAGAAAATCAGGGAAATTTCTTTTTCGTGCGGTTTGAGTTTCGACAAATGGTTTTGAAATCCCCCTGTGATCGTAGCGGGGGGTGTAAGTGATTAACCCAACAAACTCAACTAATTAGATCAAAATAAAATAAAGTGATTTTGGTTTATTTGAAGAATTTATAGTCACTCCCCACCTGTATGTACCCTTGGTACGGAGCGTTATGCAGCCACTGGTGAGCACATCCGCCGCAGCAGCTGCGATTCCCTCCCCTCCTCCTCCCGCGCTCACTCTTCCGCCTCCACGCCGGCGAATCCCCCCGCCCCTCACCGCCGGAGCCCTCCTCTGCAACCGCACCGGCTCCGGCCACGCCAGCCCGCGGGGAAGACGACCCCTACCCCCGCCGGCGATGTCCCACCCGCTCTCCTCCGAACCTCGTAAGCGCCGCCCCTCCCCTCCATGCGCCGTGTCGTGTCAGGCATCCTTCAACAATCAAAAGCAAGCAAGAGATTAGTTGATATATGGGGCATATCATATATATGGCCTCAACTAGCAAAACTTTGGCAGTTGATTGCTATCAGGTTTCGGCTGATTTTGGTCACAACTGATATTCAGTTCAGTCAGAGTTGCTGAAATATGTGCTGTCCACTCTTTTGCTGTGAGATTTGGTAATTTAACACTTCTTAAAATGGGTTTCGATTGTTTGATTATCAAATCTTTTCTTTTGGTCAGATGCTTTGGAACAAAGGGCAGTGGTAGTAACCAACAAGCATGGGGAGAAGCTCGTGGGAGTGCTGCATCACACGGGTTCAAGCAAGATCGTCGTATTGTGTCATGGTTTTATATCTACCAAGGTAACATTTGGAAAAATGCGTTTGTAATAAGTTTAAAGTGAGATGCGAACAAATGTTTGTTTAGCAGAAATGCAAGCGACATAAATTTGTGTGGAGATAGTTTGTCTTGTTGCTTCCCAATGTAAATTCACTTCTGTTTTCCAGAACGACAGTCTCATTCTTGACCTGATGGCTGCATTGACAAAGAAAGGGATTAGTGTCTTTCGCTTTGATTTCAGTGGAAATGGGTAAGTTTGCTCCAGAAAACCATGTCTTCCCCCAGCAATTTCAGTTCTTAGAAGAAGCTATAGTAATACTGCTTTAATCTTAGACTATGGGCATGGTTCTTTTTCGCATGAGTATGTCTTAGAATGGGGAGAATAGCTACTGTAGTCCCTAAAGTTTCTATGTAGGATCATTTTAGTCCCTAACCTTTTAAATAGTTCAAAGAAATCCTTAAACTTTGTCATAAGGCCTAGAATAATCCTTGGGTCCACCAAAATCGTCATATGGATATGCCATGTCATCATTCATGCAAAATCTATGATAAATTGTCTAGTTTACCTTTATGTATATCATAGAAAAATAAATGTAAGGGTGAATTAGACATAACCATAGGGAAAAAAATACTTTTCCTTTTTTTCACCCTTTTGACGTATATTTTTGCTCTTACATATACCATATATTTTTTAATTTTTCCTTTTGTTTTTTATTTTCCTATGATATATGTAAATATAAATTGGACAAATCATATAGATTTTGCATAGGAGGGTGACATGGCATGTCCATGTGGCGATTTTGATGGGACCAAGGACTATATCAGCCCATGTGACAAATTTAAAGGACTTGTTTGAACAATATGAAAAATTAAGGACTAAAATGGCCCAGGAGCGAAACTTTAGGGACCATCTTGGCTATTCTCCCTCTTAGAATGTACAACTAATGATGGACTGAGACTTGATCTTCTTGTATCTGAGGGAGGTGCTTCTGTAATTCCGTTGTTCTTTAAAATGTAATCCATTATGAAATGCACTTAGTGAAGCATTATAGTACACACTATCTGACTTTTACTTGCATAAATCTTGTTAATTGCTGTCTTTTATTGTTGCAATCCGTGCTGCTTGACAAATATTTCAGAGAAAGTGAAGGAGAATTCGAGTATGGAAACTACAGGAAAGAGGCTGATGATTTGCACTCCGTTGTATCATATCTTTGTAAGGAAAAGTATGATGTAACAGCAATTGTTGGCCATAGTAAAGGTAGGTGATATATGCCATTTTGTAGATCTGGTCTGGTAATTCTCATTTCTGTTGAGTTATTCCATTCAGTTTTCATCATTAGCAAGTTAAAAAAGATCGTCCAGTTCTTTAACAAGAACTTGCCTATTACGCTCCTCTGTGTTCGATAGCAAATTAGTGATAATGTTAAAACCTTGTTGCAGCATCTGTTTGGAGATATATTGCTTTGATGGTTTTGTCTTGGCATTCATTTGAACAGAACATGACATTCTTATATTATTTGTTCTGTGGAACACATGGAGCATATCATATCCAATTTGTTTTACTCCCATTATGAATTTATGATAAATTTTGCATCTTTCCACTAAGCAAAATACCAACATGATGTCCCTAATCCGCAATACCTTTTCTTTAATGGTGCTCTTTTCTTTTTGTTGCACAGAATGTATATGTCCTCTCTTCTTTGTTGCCATATATTACTAAGTTAAATTTGAATATGTATCTATTTTTCCAGGGGGAGATGTAGTAACTCTATATGCTTCTATTTATGATGATGTACGCTTGGTTATTAATGTATCTGGTAGATTTGACTTAGAGAAAGGCATTGAAGAACGTATAGGGGAAGGATCAATTGATAGAATAAATAAAGAAGGCTACCTTGATGTCAAGGATAAATCAGGTAAGGCAGCATGTGCGATTGTGCAACCTTAATCTTCCAAGTTTCTTGCAGCATGTATGCCTCGAGCTTTGCATATCTGTTTACATTTTGTTGTCACTTTCATGGGCATCTGTCCTACCTGGTGCAGGAAATGTACAGTACAGGGTAACTAAAGAGAGTTTGATGGAGCGGCTCAACACCGATATACGTGCTGTAAGCATGTCCATTACCAAGGAATGCAGGTTAGGAAACTATCCTGGGCCCTACTTGTCCCTTGCTTTTGAACTTGTAAACTGAAACAGCAAATTACTGCAGCATTAGTGTTTACGGTTTATAACATAGACGTGTATACTAAAAAACTTAGAAGTCAACAATGTTACCTTGTGCTATAATATAACAAAGATGCCATGCACATATTCAGATAACTTGCCGTCTTTGTTCAGGTTCTTCACAGTTCACGGTTCAGCAGATGAGACTATACCTGTGGAAGACGCCTATAAGTTTGCGAAGCATATACCGAATCACAAGCTGCAAGTTATTGAGGGAGCAAATCATAACTACACCGCGCATCGCGAAGAATTGGCTGATGCTGTAGTGGATTTCATCACATCTAATTAGGTATAGAAAACCTATCTGTTGAATTATTCATCCTGGTCTCTATGGGCCCTTCAGAAATTACTCTTTTCTCCACAGTTCTGCATGTCTGAGAGACTGAGACAACCTCATTCACGAGAGATGACTTCTTGTGATGGAGGATCCTTGTGTAGGTTTTGTGCCATTTCTCTGCCTTTTCTCCTCTAAACAGGTATAAATCTTTGGGGAATCAAATAAGCAGAAAGCAGGTGTATCCGTGTATATTAGTGTACCATTTCGTAGGTCCATATTGAATTACTGATATGAATTGTTTCTTGCAGATGTCTGTGTACCTACAGGATTCCTGTAAATATCAAACTCTATAGTAGAACCGTATAAAATTTCAGGTTTTTACTTTGTACTAAGAATTCTGCGTGCAAAAGGTTTCAGAGCACAACTGCTGCTGCTTCCTGATTTCCTGGTAGCTGGAGTTTTTATCTGGGCCGCTATTGAGCCAGTTTGATGTGATCATTAGTTGGGCTGCTTCCTTATGGGCCAAGTCCTTATATACACGTGGATAGCCTAGGATTCGAGCCTATCCAAACAAGGCCTCTAGCCAACTACTAGCTTCAATTCATCTATAGCTAATCTAATAGCTCATTCATACAATAGTTACATACTACACTATTAATATCTGGTCCCACCTGTCATATACACACTACGTCTTAGAGTCCGTGCTACAGCTCGCTACAAATCTGTAGCCCGCTGCTCTTCTCTCTCCTTATTTATCTTCTTAAAATATGTTTGCAGTTAGCTTATAGCTTGCTATTGTACCTGCTCTTATGTGGACCAAAAATTGGTTGGCCGTGGTTTTCGGTGATTGTAATTGAGTTGATCAAGGGCCTTCCTAACTGGCGCAGCCGCGCACGCTCTCTCTCTCTCTCGACCTCTCCTCAGTGCTAATAACACTTATTATAGTTGATGATATTAATTAGCGGTAATGATAACTGTTAGTATTAGTATTTTTTTAAAAAAAATACATAATAGAACTTTTAACTCAGATTTAGAAAACTTTCAACTTGGATTTGAAACTTTTAACCCAGCTTTGAAAACATTCAATCCAGATTTAAAAACTTTCAACTCAAATTTGAAAACTTTCAACTTAGATTTAAAAACTATCGACTTAGACTTGAAAACTTTCAAGTCAAGATTTTTTAAAAAACTTTTAACTTAGATTTGAAAATTTTCAAGTGAATACTTTCAATTTATTTTTTTAAAAAAATCAACTTACATTTTGAAACTTCCATATCTAGTTTTGAAAATTTTCAAGTCAAGATTTGAAAACTTTCAACTTGGATTTGAAAACTTTCATCTAAAAATTCAAAACATTTAACTCAAATTTGAAAATTTTCATCTCAAAATTCAAAATTTCAACTCAAATTCAAAATTTCAACATGAAAGGTTCAACTTCTAAAATAAAAAAAATCACGAAAAACATGGCAAAAAGAAACGAAAAAAACACATATGTTAGCTTTTCCGGAAAAAAAATACAGGACGTGGGCGCCGTCCGCCTCACGTATACGCGCCACCGCCAGGTTATGCATGGGCCTTATGGGCCTAAAACTCACAACGTCAACGCGCGCGCGCGGCTGATCAATCCTTCTCAAGCTGGCGGAACCGCTGGCAGTTGATTGGTCCAGTTGGCAGAGTAATTTTCTGATACGCGTCAATTTTATACAACAGCAACTCGATCAACTGGAGAGAGCCACGAGCTCACGACGAACTGCCAAGGCTATTTAGGTCCCTTAACGCCCTCCCAGAGGGCGTGAGGCGTCTAGATTTGTAAATTTTCAAAACTAAAAATTATTTTTAAAATATTTTAATAAAAAATGTAAAAATAAAAAAATTCCACATATGGATACATATGTGTATCTTCTGGTGTAATGACTAGGTGTTAGCATTATCACAAGTTGCTCATCGTTTAACGATGAATTGAAAATAAAAAAATCTATAAAAAACCCTACCTAATTTTCTACTTAAAAAGAAGAAAATGTAGTGTAAATTTCACAACACCGCTTTTGGGGCACCCATAACGTAAAATCCAAGGTATTATATATATATATATAGCTAGTTGAATGCATGTGCTTTGCTTTCGATGGAAGAAAATATATTATAATATTCCATAAAACAAATAAAAATATATTTTCTATAAAATGTGTTTCACATTCCTTTGCTATAGGGAATATTGACCTCATTTTGATTTTATGTGGCTATCCATTTATATATGATTATTTTAAAATATGAAGAAGTTTATGATTATGAATGGTCACATTATGGTTGGAATACTGAAACAATTTGCAATTAGGGAATGGAGGGTCGGCCTTAGCGAGCCAACCCTATCTATTTCCACAAATTATGCCGGCCATATGTCTTGATAGCCATACAACACCCATGGATTGATGGATGTGGCACACATAGCCAACCGACCCTTTTTAATTCCTACCCATCTCATACCGCTCCTATTTGTAGCCTCCTCACACCCGCTCCCGCACAACTCCCCGAGGTGGTATTATTCAGATCCTCGGCTTGCGCGGGTGAGATGGGCCTATTGTTATTTTCCACCCTAGCGGATTGTTTTGCAAAAAGATCATCGTGTTTGCACGGAATATCGCATACGTACTCGGCAGCCTGACACCCCCATTGTATTTATTATGTATAACCCCTCGGCGTCCAGTAAAATACAACGCGAAGAAGAGAAAATTCCGTTTCTAAGGGTAGCGTTGTAAACAAGACAACCATATGGGGTTTTCTGCAAAACGTGATACACTAGCCCCCAAACTGAAACCCTCCCGGATTCAGCTTCAGTGACATAGGGTATGTATGTCACACGATGACATACCGTGCATCTCGGTCATCCAAACCGAATCCAACGGCTGCAATAATTGGGCCCACCTGCACTCTAAAGTATCTTTGCAGGTAAAGGTCGCAATAACCTCCACATCTCCTCCTGGAGATAAGGAATGTTAAATTCAGTGACTGGATTTCTAAGATTACCAAGTGTAGAACTTGCAACAAGGCATGGCAAAATTCAATGATCAAGGGATGCGATGTGAGACAGTGAGAGTAAATTAAAAAAAAATCCAGAAAAGTGCTATGCTAACCATTTAGAAACTTTATAGTATTTTCTAGCAGTAGATTGTTTTGATGTTACAGTCAATGTGATAGAAAAATATTCAGCCACAAAGTTCTCCACCATTTTAACTCCTGCATAGATTGTATTTGAAACAAGGGTATAATGCCACGAACCTTTGCTGTGACCAACAATTGCTTTCACATCATATTTCTCCTGATTAAGATGTGAAATAACAGAATGCAAGTCATCAGCCTCCTTTCTATAGTTCCCGTACTGGAATTCCCCTTCACTTTCTCTGAAAATTATATAGTGAAAGGCTTATAAATCATGCATTGATGCCTTCAGGGGAAAAAGGGTAGATCTGAAAGACAAGTAACATCTAAAATTCAAAGAAACAACAGAAACTAATAATATAAAACTAATAATTTTTTTATATTTATGTTATCCATTTTATATTTTTTTTCGAATCTTTTTGCCATGTTTTTCAATGTTAAATATCGTACAAACATATATTCAATGTTAAATTTAATAAAACTAATTTTATGTTGTAAATGTTACTCCCTCCGAGTTGATAATACTTGTCATTTTGGATAAGGGCACTGTCTTTAAAAAAACAATTTAACCATTATTTTTCATTATAATATATATAAAAGTGTTAACAAATATATGATTTTATTAAAGTACTTTTTAAGACTAATCTATATACGTAGTCACCATATTTAAAAGACAAATATTTCAAAAAAGATTTATAATTAAAAATTCTAAAGTTTGACATTACCCTTGTCTAAAACGATAAGTATTATCAGCCTGGAGAGAGTACTATTTTTTTTCTATAAATTTAGTCGAACATAAAAAAAATCACTAAAAAAAGAAGTTAAATGACTTATAATACAAAGGGAGTAGCACACACGGCACAAAGACAAACTTAGCTTTCAGATACGTTTGACATCAATTTTCTACCATTTTTGTAGAAGCTCATATAGTACTATACTACAAAACTATGCTCCGTACGCCCCAAGGTTCAACGGGCCAGGGAACCTTCCAACAGCCCAAGCCAACGGCTCTCCCCAGGGTTTACAATTCCGACGAAATCCGGTCGGATTTCACGAAATTTCGACGAGGCTCGAAAGTAGAAACCGTCTGAGATTTCGAGGAGTTTCATCCAAATTTAAATTTAAATTGATAAAAAAGAAAAAAATAAAATAAAATCTTATAAATACTATGATATTCATAGAACCTATTGGGATATAAATTTTCGAAAAAAATGATGTATTGCGTGTATTTACTAAAACTTACATCAAGAAAAAAAATTTCAGCAAACTACCTCTATTACAAATTACGGATCGAAATTTCGATGATTTCGATCGGAATTTTGCCAAAACCAACCGGTTTTCAAGAACTTGTCGGTAAACTTAGGGAATTTGTATTCAAATTTTGGTTTATGAAATTTGTTCGGAATTTACCGGTTTTTCACTTGATTTCACGAAATTTCGAATTCCGCTAGTGTCCGAAACGGAAGGGCCTGTCAGAATTGTAGAACCTGGCTCTCCCTCTCCAGGGTTCAGTTGCCTCCCTGTCAGTCACTAGTGGAACACAGTTCTTTAGCTACCCAAACCAACTCTCCGATTAGATTCGGCGATCCCTCTTCCCCCCTCTCTTCGCTGCGGCACCCCCGGGAATCCTCCGATCCAATCCGGAGCACGCCACCGCCGCCGCCGCTGCCATACGGCAGCCATGGCGGAGCCGCTCTCCTCCTCTTCCCAGGGTTCATCGGTTCCCTGTGAGTCCCCCTTGATTTTTTTTCTTTTTTTCTTTTACCTCCCGGATTCATCCTCTTTACTTGAACGTGGATTGTTTAGATTGCTAGCTGACGGACAAGAGGGCGTTCTTTTTGTGTGTATATAATTCAATGATGTTTTGGCCAACGAAAAGAAGGGGAAGAAAAGGAGAAGAAGATTATGTTACTCCGATATAATAATTAAGGGCCTCTCGTTGTTTTAACTTTTAAAATTTGGCTTATATGCATAAGCATAAGCGAAACAATGGGGCTCTAACTCTATTATATGGTTTCTAAACAGCTGCTCAGGAAGAAAGGGTAGTGGTAACGAATAAACATGGAGAGAAACTCGTTGGGTTGCTGCAGCACATGGGTTCCAACAAGATTGTAGTGATCTGCCATGGCTTTACAGCTTCCAAGGTGCATAAATATGTCGTTACAGAAGAAATTCCCTTTGTACTATTCAAAATATGTGGGTCACTAATTTTTTTTCTCGATTTTTGTCTGAGAAGCAACAAGTTTTCTAATTTTTAGCTTTTTTTTTTACCAACGTAATGAAGCTTGACTCTTGGTCTCTTGTTTTCAGAATGATAGCATCATTGTTGATCTAGCGAATGCACTTACCAAGAAAGGGGTTGGAATCTTCCGCTTCGATTTCAGTGGAAATGGGTAGGTTGCTCATGGAGCTAGAGATAATATGTACGATGCTGATTTAAGTTCACAAAAGCTAGTGTTGTAAATGCTATTCTATCCTCTGTTAATTAATTTCACCGGTGGCATTCAATTTTATCCTTTTCTGGAGTTCTTTTCGGGAATATGCATAAGACTTCCGTAACTTTGTATTGAGATTTCAAGTAGAGCTTTGTTTTCACATCAGCTAAACTAGTGAAAAAGGGTAAGAAAAAGAATAACAGCAATTGAAGGCTACATCTCGCGGTTGGTTGTGTGGGTGGAAGACCAAAGGGTAGGCCATCAGATTGGCGCTCCTGCTGTGCGCCAGTGGGCTGCCTCTTCAGCATCCGTGGCAGCCACTTCCCTTTTCTAGAGGTTTGGTTAGAAGTTAGAGCTAATTAGCTAAATGAGCTGAGGTTCCTATCTGTTGTTCCTTTGAATTTTAAGATGTTACTTGTCTTTCATATCTACACTTTTTTTCCCCTGAAGGCATCAATGCATGATTTATAAGCCTGTCACCATACAATTTTCAGAGAAAGTGAAGGGGAATTCCAGTACGGGAACTACAGAAAGGAGGCTGATGACTTGCATTCTGTTATTTCACATCTTAATCAGGAGAAATATGATGTGAAAGCAATTGTTGGTCACAGCAAAGGTTCGTGGCATTATACTCTTGTTTCATATACAATCTATGCACGAGTTAAAATGGTGGAGAACTTCATGGCTGAATATTTTTCTATCACATTGACTGTAACATCAAAACAATCTACTGCTAGAAAATACTATAAAGTTTCTAAATGGTTAGCATAGCACTTTTTCTGGATTTTTTTAATTTACTCTCACTGTCTCACATCGCATCCCTTGATCAATGAATTTTGCCATGCCTTGTTGCAAGTTCTACACTTGGTAATCTTAAAAATCCAGTCACTGAATTTAACATTTCTTATCTCCAGGAGGAGATGTGGTGGTTCTGTATGCCTCTATCTATGACGATGTGCGCACAGTGGTTAATCTCTCTGGTCGATTTCATTTGGAGAAAGGCATTGAAGAACGGCTAGGCAAAGAGTTTATGAATATAATTGACAAAGAGGGTTACATTGATGTCAAAACCAACTCAGGTAAGGAAGTTCCTATCAGTTATTGCGACCTTTACCTGCAAAGATACTTTATAGATAAATCATATACACTGTGTATGCTTACTTCTCTTTCACGCGCATTAGTTGACTGTCCGTCATTTCCAATGTAGGAAAGGTTTTATATAAGGTAACAAAAGAGAGTTTGATGGAACGATTGACCACTGATATGCATAAAGCATGCCTTTCCATCAGCAAAGAATGCAGGTCAGGAAGCTAACTCAACCGCTTTTACCCCTATATTCAAATAAACAGCAGTATAAGTGCTTAACATAGCTGAACATGCTATTCTCTTGCATTCCCACAGCTGAAATATTGAATGCATATCTCTTATGTTTTGGACAGAGGTTTCCAGTTGTACCAGATTTTGAGGCAACTTTATTTGTCTTTGTTCAGGTTTTTCACAGTTCACGGTTCAGCCGATGAGATCATTCCTGTGGAAGATGCATACGAATTCGCGAAGCATATACCGAACCACAAGCTACATGTCATCGAGGGAGCAAATCACTGCTACACTGCTCACCGTAAAGAGCTTTCTGATGCCGTGGTGGATTTCATTACATCCAGTGAGGTATAATGCAGAGAAAGCAATTTATTCACCTGTTGTTCTTTGTAGGCACTGTCTCTTACAGTCTGTTTCAACAGTGTTTTCATATGACTGACCCTGGGAGTTGCTATTTTTGTCTGCAGGATGGGGATAACTCGTCGGCATAAGATGAATTGAGTTGTGATGGGTTGTTTCTGTACACTTATAGACCATTTATAAGCTTGTTGAAGTTGCCATATTATCCCCATCTGAAGAATCCTGGATGTTGGCCATTGTGATGTGTGCATTCAGTATTTCAGTATTGTTTCTGATTTATTGGTTTGGAACTGAAATTCTGAAACTGTACCATATTTGAATAAGCAATAAAGCGTCGCAATAAATCTTTTCAACGAAACAAGCTACATCCGTTGCGCGTTGTAACCTGATAACCTGTCTGAGAAGTAGCTATCACCGACCTTAGGCCCTCTTTGTTTAGGCTTATAAGCCAACTTATAAGCCAAAAAGTCTAAGTCTAAACAAATAAGCAGCTTTTTCGTTTGGCTTTTTTGAAGCCATAAGCCACTTAATAGTTAGGTTGGAGAAGCTTTTTTGGCTTATATGAGATAGATGTATGACTCCACCACTTAACTTAAGACATTAAATTCACTGGCTTATAAATCATGTAAGCCAATAAGCTGACTTAAAAGTCTAAGCAAATAAGTCTAAGCCTGAACAAAGAGGGCCTTAGCATGATCTCCCTCTATATGAAGCTCGCCCCGTGCAGATACCTGCCATGCGACGCCTAGATGAAGCCTATATATGCTTAAAAAAAAGATAAAAATTTGATGGTCGTCTAGTTATTAGTGCAACACTGTCTAGCACCTATGGGGTACCAAATTTGTTACCGATTGGTATCAGAATTTGATACTTGCTTAGTATCATACCGTTTGGACAGAATCCCGTGGTATAGCAGCCTCCTTAAAAAAAACCAAAATAGACAAAGAACTTCGAGGCAAGAATTAGTTAAAAGAAAATCTCCAGTAGCGCCAAGCCGCCAATGATGTTAAAATGCCAGAGTTCCCTGAAACTGGAGCCACTTGACTCAGTATTTTGGGTAACAAATGATTACTTGACACCATACAAAATGCTACCGTTTCTGCCAACAAACAAGAGACAAGTGTAAAATCCAGAACATGTCCTTCCATGGAACAGCAGGCAAAAGAAAAAAAAAAACAAGGCCAGCAGGGCAGCCAGTGAAATGCTAATCACAAACGGGGAAGAGACTCTGCCCTGATGAACTCCTTGAGAAGCGCCTTCTCTTCGTTGATCTTGTTCTTCTCAGCAGCATTGCGTGGCTTGATCTTCCGCTTCTCTTCCAGCATCCACTTGTAGACCTGGCGCTGTTCGTCTTCGGGTATTGGTGGAAGCACTCTTTTGGGTGGAGGAGTTGGAGGAGTAGGATCTACAGTCTCAGCAGCTGGGGCAGCTGGGGATGACAATGCTACAACTGCAGCTGCAGCAGCAGCAGTCTGAGCGTTCTTCTTTTCCTGGTCTCTCTTGTAGGTCTTTGCAAATACGTAAACTGCATGTAAAAGGAACAAACTTACTGTATGAAAATAGCTTTCAGTAAACCAAATATTAGTCAACACGCAAGAAATGAACAGTACCATCAATATGTACTATCAGAATTCAGAGGCAAACCTACCTAAGCTTTCAATATTTTCAATATGCAAAGGCCAGGAGTAGTTGCAAAGACATATTGCAAGTGGGACAAAGGGCAAATAAACGGTTAGTGCCAATGGTTTTGTGTTCTGTGGCCATTTTACACTCATGGATGACCACCACAGTATTTCCCTTTCCTTCTTGCAAAGAAGAAATCCAGCAGATAAATGTAACTTTCGATACACAAGCACACAGCGTCAAGCGAGCTGTATATTTACTCCATTCAGTAGAACCCAGAATACAAGAAAATCAAGCTAGTTTGAGGCATAGCCCATCCTTTAATAGAAAAGATTCATGAGTATACCGTACTATACATTCTAAACTCTATAAGGAATGCTACTATTGCCCAGTATGATTCATTGTAATTATACTTGACTAAAATGGAAAATACGTAAAATATATATTGAATTTATCTTTGTAACAGCAAAGCCCTCAAATTTCTCATTGACAAATTGAATTCACTCAATATCACCCATTAACTCCCTACTAAATAGTAGAGCAGAGTAGCAGACACTGGCCCACTCGCTTATTTTTTTATCTAGACAATCCAAACTCCACGGCAAGAAATGTAGCTAAAATTTGGATTGCAACCCACAATCCCCAGCCCATCCCCATGGATAGCTCACAGATCGTGGATCCCAAACCAGGCTTCAGTGTATTTTGACCCTAGTCCTGCCAGTGCGAAATATACTCCAATACAAAACATCAGTTTACCATGTAAAATAGAGGTATTTATATTTGGTACCACTTGGTGTCCACAACTTGCTTCTTTTATCCCTCCTGCAGCAATAAATTCTACTACCTCCGTTTCAGGTTATAAGACTTTCTAGCATTGTCCACATTCATATAGATGTTAATGAATCTAGGCACACATATATATCTAGATTCGTTAACATATACTCCTATATGAATGTGAGCAATGCCAGAAAGTCTTATAATATGAAACGGAGGAAGTAGCTTTGTCGGTCCCCTATAAGCGAAATTTGATGTTCCCAGCCACAAACCATCCATCATTCCAGAATACAAGGAGCTAACCACCTAGTCCCACAAACATTATTGCATAATACAAAACCAAACACTATAGGAGAACATAAACACTTCCGCTTGTTGCTTCTGATAGTAAATTCGAGGCCCAGGAATAACCGAGCTATGTCAGTTCATCCTACTTACACAATCCTATAACACTAGTATCACAAATGCTCTAATAATAATCTCTATCTGATGGTCCAAAATCCACTCCATGTGTTAGTAAAAATGCACATCATATCTACAACATAACACTGAAACCAAACTGAGGTGACCTAGATGAACAATTACTAAGCGCATTTAGCTTGAGACTACAGCTAACCCTACAGTCGCACAACCGCTCCTAAGTCCTAAGTCCTAACCATGCCTAACATCATCCATCCACTAGGCTTTTGCGATCCTTCTCGCTCGGATCCACACAACGAAAGAACCGCATCATCCCTAAGAGGCATGTCTACCACATGGGAGGGAGGGAGATCGATCCAGGCACAGGGGGTCTCTCACCTCCGATGAAGATGTTGGCGGCGAGGAGGAACGGGAAGATGCGGCGCATGAAGACCCCCTTCTTCGCCGACGGCGCCTCCGGCGGCGACGCGGGGTCGGGCTTGCCGGCGTCGGCCATCGCGGCGGGGTGCGGACTGGAAGATCGCGGTCGACGGGGGGGCGGCGCGGCGGCTGAGACGGCGGCGGCGGCGGCGGCTGCTTCTGAGCCTGAAATCTTCTCCCCCGCCGCGTTGTTCTAATCGTAGCCGTTCATCACGATCAGATGCACGACTTTCCACGCCGATGGGGAGATGGGCCGTGCTGGCCCTGCTTGGGCTGGATATTGGATTTAAAAGAAATAAGTTCACTTCAGGTCCCTTCTGTCGAGGGTGAGTTTGAAAAACGTCGTTGAAGCACATTATCAGATACAACGCGTCCCTAATCTAGCAAAACCAGGTCAAATGGGTCCTACAGCAGTATTGAGGGGGCATTTTTGGTTGTTGTGGTGTTGATATGGCGATAGAAGCAATAATAATAATAATAAACCCACGTGGGATCCGCATGTGAAACAACATATTCTTCCTCATCCCCTTCTCTCTCCCCCATCCTTTCTATCGGCTGGGCGGCGAGACCGCGAGGGGCAGAAGGCAAAGGCTCGGTGCGGCCTGGTGGCTTGAGGTCCCTGAGAGCCCCCCTCGACATTCGGCCACTGCTGTTGTGTGGCTCTTCCTGTGCACCTCGACGCAAATCAGGAGCTCGACGATGATGAGGTAGGTGGGAAGGCTATGTATGGCTCATGGGGCGAGAAGACTGTGACTAGGGTGAAAACGGGGCGGATATTTCCCGCCCGCCCACCCGAACACATTATTTTGGGATAAATTTGGGTAAAGAATTCAGGTACCCAAGATTTTTCACGGATATCGGGTCTGAATACGGGTCTTTTTTGGGAGCGGCGATGAGGCTGACCGGTGACATGGGCCAACGAGCATGAGCTCAAGAAGGGAGAGGAGAGAGATAAGGAGAGGGGAGACGCAACCCAATTCCATGTGGGCCCCATACTTTTATTTTCTTTGTTCTGAGTAGGATGCCATGTCAGCTAAAACAGATATCCATAGTGTTTTAGGACCTTATTTAATCCGGCTTTATAAGATGGTGATTCAATTTTAGTATTGCGCTTTAGGGATACGATTCAAATTCGACGTAAAAATAAGGGACTTGTTTCATTTTAAAATCTAAAAATTACATAAGTGCTAAGGAGTGAAAGTTTGTTTCTTAAATTTGATAAGACCCACCTATATGTTACACAAAACTACAAGAACTTTGGCATGTGACACATAACCTTAAGTATTATGGTCCTAAAATTTATAAATCACACCATTAATCATTTTTATATAATCCTGTATCAAAATTCAAAAAAGCTTTGCTTACATAGATGCGACATTCATATGATGGATAAAAACTTATAAATTTGAGAACTTGAAATTGTGGTAGATAAAAGTCAAAACCCAGTAATTTTATGCAATTTAGACCATAATATCTAGGGTTACATGAAATTTACTCTTAAATTAATTAATTAGTGAACTTTTGTAATTTTAATATTCACACTTTCAATGTGAAACTTTGAATCTGTGAGTTGAGGATTTGGAAATTTCAAACAATAAGTTTGCACCATCGAATAATAAGCTTTCATGTGATCGATATCTAAGCTATTCCTGAAGTTTATTTATCAAATATTAATTTAGCGTTTTAATCAAATAAACAATCCGTTCTAATAATTTGCACAAAATCTATTTTACACCGGGTTTAATTGCTAGAAATCAAGAACTGGGTGTCTGGGTTGAGAGGACAAAACAACGAGCCATGGGATAATATTTCTTTTTCCTCCGGTTGCTTTCATGCAAGCTGATCGAGCCGCCAACCATCCATCTCTCTCATGTTTGCTACTAGGTCATAGATCCAATGGCATGCATTAATTGGAATAGCTTGTTGCGTTTTCTTTCATTTCTTTTTCTTCTTTTTTAAACAACGGAGATTGATCGCTTGTCACGTTATCCATTTCGAGAGTATCTTTTTCGACGTTCCATCATCTCTTATTTGCTTGTTTTATATCAAGAAAGAGACATGAAACCTGCAGAGTGCTGTTCTCAACTGCTTGGAGGTGATATGTTTGATGACACTTAACACACATCACAGGGTTTAACACACATCACAGGTGTCTGTCAACACCTCGGAAGGGGTCCCCTTGGGATCCTTTTGTAACTTTGCTGGTACAAACTCGGTTTCCCTCTCTTCTCCTTTTATGAAATAGGCAGAGCTCCTGCTTTTACCTCTCAAAAAAAAAATAACACACATCACAGTACGCGTACCAAGGTATAGTTGCGTAAACTTATTGGAGCAGTGACTGTGCACCCCTAGTCCTATCTTAATTATCTTTAGTCTTCACTTTTCTTTTTGTAGGCCAAAATTCAGGAGAACATGATTTTAAAACCAAAGCGCCCTTAACTGGTTGTGTACGGAGAGAAGGGGAGAGGGGAGTGGTGAGCGGCAACAAACAGCGTGCAGGTGGGCGGCGCTAGAGGCTGTGTCCTCACCGCTCCTTCAGGGAGCTGATGAGGGCAATACCCTCGCACGTCGTCGCCTCCCCCTCCTCCCTCCATGGCTCCACCCCGTCGTCCCCACTGTCGCCTCCTAGCGAGTCCTCTAGCATAGGCGGTGTTGGAGGCGGTGTGCAACATACGATGAGCGTGCGGGCGGGCCACGCTGGAAGACGCGCCCTCGCCGTTCCTTCGTGGAGCCAAGGGCGGTCCAACCCCCACCCCCGTATCATCGCCTCCTCCTCCTCTCCCTCCACCTCATCAACTTCGCTGTCGTTGCAGACAACCCCTCCTGTCGCGCCCGCTACCCTCTCCCTCTCACTCCGCTCAACCAGCTAGGGTCGTTTTGGTCTTAAAACCCTCCGTGACATTCTAATCATAAGACAATATATTGAGTGGTATTTTATTTGGTGTATCCTATTGAATGGCTTTTCATTGAACCACGCGAATGGAGCAACATATCGTCCGTTTTCTCAAAATTCAAATAAGTAGAAGATGGGAGAATCATGGTTAGGGCCATCGATAATGTTTTAATACTGATATAGATTCCATTTTATTAAACAAAATACAGAATAATATGTACTACTAGAATCCATCTTAATAAATATATCCTCCATTGCAATTTTTAAATTTAATATTTTATGAATAAGTTTCTGCTAGAATATGTGTTGGAGTCCGAATTTAGTATGATTTCTGATTTAATAATTCTAAAATTTGGAATTAATAAATATCAAGTTTTGCTCGGTTTGAACATTATAGTCTCATTTATAGAGTACTCCCTCCATCTACTTTTGATAGTCATATTTCCAAATCTGAAAATTTTATTTTTGATAGACATATTTCAATTCGAACAACTTATCATCTTAATGACTTTCTTGGATTTAATGCATGACTCTTCATTCTTCCACACATGATTGGCTACATGGGCATTGAGAAATGTAAATATTAATAAATCGCTTGTTTACGAGGAATGACTAGTAGCATATTTAAATGGATGATAAGTAGAATTACTTATTTTTGTCTGTGTGCCAAGATGAAATATGACTATCAAAAGTAGATGGAGGGAGTATTTCTTTATTGTCTCATTTATACTGGGTCATACTTGATATGGACCATTAATTCTTTTTTAAGTGATGTTTCATCTAAATAAAAGTTAAGGAGTCCACGGTAATCTTTTTAATCAAAGTCATGTTTTGTCTAAAACGAATTCTCAATATAATATATGACCATAATAATACGATCATCTAATATATGGCTATTTTTTTTCTATTTAACGCAGAAAAGAAAAAAAAAAGAAAAGCTCTATTAGATTGTGTAATTAATACTGACTGATATAGATAAAGATAAATCGACCTCCGATAAATTTGATGTGTTTTGGACCTAAAAGTGGGTCGTCAGCTATTCATGGGGTCCGTTCTATTCTATGTCCCCGAATTTTGTTATTTATACCCCATTTATAATGTAACATTGATGACAAGGGTGACCCTCAGCAAATAAATAGTAGTTATAACGATTGGACCTGAACCGCCCGGCATGTCGCAATGGCGCAATCTTATCATATACCAACTCAACTTTACGGAGGAGACTTAGAATCGGGCGTCCGATCTAAACATGTAAAAATCGGACACTGACATCATGCATGCGTGCAAAACCAATTTAAACTAATTTTTCTCTTAAATTACTTATCTAAATCATGATCCGATTACATCATTAAATTTGTTGCAATTAAATCTTCAAAACAAGACTACGCATGGATATATTCCGACGAAATTTTTTTTAAGCTTATTATTGAATTATTTTTAAATGTTGCATGATGTTCCACCAAGTATATTGGAATTGTTTCGCTAAGTAGATCGAAAATGTTTCAATCGTTTAAATTTGACGTTGTTTCACCTTATATAAAAAGAAATGTTTCAGCAAATAGGGAAATAATGTTTCAGTTCACTGCAACATTAGATCTATACATAGTGAAACATTCTGAGTACACTAGGTAAAACATTTTTGGTGGAACAAAAAATGAAACGAATTCCCTTAATAGAGGATTTCCAAAATATGTGAGTGATTTGTTGCAAAAAAATGTTTGAGTTCACTGCAATATTAGATCTATACATAGTTGTGTGTACACTGGGTGAAACATTTTTTGTGAAAAAAAAATAAAACGAATTCCTTATAGGATTTTCAAAATATATGGGTGATTTGTTACAACGGAGTATGTGGCGGAGACACGTAACAGGGAAAAAGGGACACATCATGGGGGCCATGGCGCACCGCACACGTGTGGCGCGCGCTTCGTTGGGGGGAGGGGGGAGGGGGGAGCGACCGATTTTTTCCCCTCCCCCCGGCGACCGAGGCGTGGCATTCTCCCAACTTTAGGTTGCAACATGATTGGAATTAAAGAACTAATTACTGGCATGATTGCATAGGGAAATTATTATGGGCCATGTGCGACGCTTGGCTGTACCTTGCAAGAAACTGGTAGGAGTATGTCCCTTGCATCACCCAAAGAACAGCAGGCACTACTCCTTTATAAAAGTAAGGCTAATGTTGTCACCATCAGGTGACTATTGGCTGGTAGGATTGGAACACTTGGCAGCTTGTCTGTCACTGAGTCGTCACAGTAATCATCCAGCAAGCAAAAGCATGCGTCTCAGAAAGGTTTTTAGCCACAAAATAATCTAATCTGGTTTGCCCTAATCAGTGTGTTTAGAGAAATGCAACCGTGTGTTTTCTACCATAAGTATTCAGCGTCAATTGTCAATCGATCTTTGAAGTAGCATGGTTGCATGGATGAAGTAGAAAGTTCAGCCAACTGCCCTAAAAAGAGCATGATCCAATCACAGAGTGTATGTAAAAAGATAAACTGGAATGATAATTCCCAAACTGACCGGATACAAAAACGTTGAATTTCCCGAGTCCTACAACCAATCATATATACAGTTGCTCACTACTATGCTCCTTAATCCTGAACTACCGAGAGGATGTATGTACACGAACTTGATTGTCTGCTAAAAGTTGACCAATTTGCTGTCATAGATGAGCCTCGGTTTGCAGAAAAATTGAGTCTCAAAGCATTGATCTTGATTAACAATCACCAATTGTGGTTCTTCAGCGAGGGCTCATGATGAATTCTCATATCTGTTTCCATTCCTGAGAGCTGGCCAAGAAACATGCAGCACAAAGTTGGCAGGATCAGCAGGCAACCTGTCACCATCATCCGGGGATCTTGCGCAGTTCAACCTTCAAGTGATTCCTAGATTATGTTCAATCTTCAACCGCGGTGTTGAAGACAAAACTAGGGAAAACTGTCGTGATGTCCCTGTAGTATAAGATGGACAAAAAAATAACAAAGTAAATAACGAGGAATTTAATGAAGTCCTGACTGGTATTTTTTTCAAACAATTTAGCAGTAGTTTCCAGACGAGATTTCTCTGCGCAACAGTATATATTTGACAGAACTTAATAGTCCAGTTCATAAAGCTCTCAAGCTCATATTTAATACCTTAGATAAGGCAGTGTCATGTTCTTCAATAGATTAGGATGCCGCAATACGAATTCCTTCCATTCTTGTTGGTTTATTTTTCCATCCCTATCAGCATCAGCATCTTCAAATGTCTGAAATACAGAAAAATTGTAGCAAAACTTAAATCCATGCAGCAAAAAGGGCATGTTCACATAGGACAGAGCCGAGGAAATGATTGATCACCTTATCAATAATGGCCTCGAGAAGTTCTTCTGACAATTTCATATCAGATTCCGACAAAATAGCGATAACCATTTGCATAACCTGCAAAACAGACCATGCCGTCACTACCAGATTTGTACTAGAACACAAATAACATACTTGTTGCAAATTAATACAGAGTGCCTTGATGAACTAACCTCCTCACGCTCAATAAACCCAGTTTGTCTCAAGTCATACAACCTAAATGCAACTAAAACAATCCAAAGGGAGGCCTTATTGTAAATATACCTCGATACATGAATTTAAGAAGGTAGTGTCTGAAAGAAGTGTACTTACAATTTATCTTGTCTTCCAATGGTGCCAATGGATGGAAGACGCTAAGAGCATGAATAAACTCATCAAACTCTATTACACCATTTTTCTTTTCATCAAATAAATCAAAAACCTGTATCAGAGAGAATTTCTTTCAGTGGTTATACTTATACCCTCTGAAAGTAACATGCCATGGAAATAAACTAACAATTAAAAGGAGATCAATGGAAAACATAGTGCACAAAGTGGTAAATGGTCAAATAAAATTTATAGTACTAAAGAGAGCAAATGAAGTAAACACTCACCCTATCAAGAAAAAGATTCTGGCCGCTTGGAGTCTTAAACAATGCCAGCTGGAGCTCTTCCTAAAGAACAATTCAGCATAGGAACTGTTACGTATGACAAATCCAGCATAGAGAGCATTTCAGATTTTATTTGTCTTTCTCAAGTTTTTATTAAAAAAAACATTCACTCCAATAAATCACGATGCTCCTGAAAATACAAATTAAATGGTTTCTGTTGACTTCGAATGTTTGTATTGCAAAGATACTACAGTGTTTTCTTAACGAAAAAACAGCCATGCCATGCCTTCCCCTTACCAATCAGCGTTACAGTTGCTCACATAGTGTACCATGAGAACGAACATGCCAACCAAACAATCTGAGAAACAGGAACTATTCTATGGTCAAATTGCACATGGGAGCCACCCGACATGCAAGCTGTGACAAAAAGTAAACTAGAGGCAAAAAAAATTCTATGGGTTGTGAAACCAAAATACAATAATGCTCCATGGGTGACCCACTAATCCATTGCGTGCAGTGCAACACCTCTGGATCGGTCGATCTAGTACACCTAGTTGCAATTTTTTTACTGGGTCAAATTGCAACATTGCCTTCTTAAGGCCGACTACTAATCAATCGATCATTCTTTTCGCCTGACGAACCCAATTTTCAGAGACCAAGACAAGAACAGACATCGAAGTGCAGAGCATAACCTCTCAAAAAAAAAACTATTAGTTTATTCGATAATCACCGAGAATTCTTGCCACGAAAGAACGTATCGAAAGAAATTTTTGTCACATCAACCTGATCCAAAATGACAAATTGACAGGAACACAAACCTTGTGGATGAGTCCGTCGTCGATGATGGAGCAGCTGATCTTCTTGTAGAGCTCGAACAGCGCCTCCACCTCGTTCACGGAGACTTGACCCGATGCGATCGACACCAAACACCAGATCAGATCGGACCACATTGCGAAATTGGACTCGAGAAGAAGAAGAAGGCGATACAAACAATGGGAGGGGGGTGAGGTGAAATTAGAGATTACAGCATCTGGATTCGTCGGCGAGGCGGGCGAGCTGGCGGAGGGTGAGGGAGGTGCAGCCGATGCCGACCCTGCCACGCTGCTGGTGGTTCCATTTCCTGGCGACGGCGGCGAGGTAGGAGGAAGCGGCGGAGCGGCGGTGGCGGGAGGCGGCGGCGGACGGCGGGAGGAGGTCGGCGAGGCAGTCGGTGAGCGCGAAGAAGACGGCCTCGGCAATGGCGACGAACGGCAGGAACGCCGCGCACAGCCGCTCCCCCACCGTCAGCGAGCTCGCCGACTCCTGCAAATCCAAAATCCAAAATCCAATCAAACATAGCTCCAAGAAACGGCAGCGCCGCCGGCGACCGGCGACGAACAGGTAGCTGAGCCACCGACCCACCACGTCGTCGTCGGAGAAGCGGAAGCCGTAGCCCGACTCCATGGATGCAAGATCAATCACCCGTGCGCTTCTCTCTCACCCCGCCTCTCCCCATCTCTCTATATACAGAGGAGACAAACTCTTTAAAAGATGCCGTCTCCGTCCAAAAATAAGTTCACTATTAGTACCTCCTTTCGTTTATCCAAAATAAATTTATTTCTTTAAATAATTATTATCATATCAAAGTTTATAAAAGTAAGATGTAAATACAATAAAATAAATAAAAATAATTATATTAAGATTTAATAAACGTACTCTTAGTCTTACTTCTATCCCATCCTCTAACTTCAAATTATAACTTTATTGTTTTCTATTAGCATACTTTTTAAATTGTTACTTCTAGATGATAAAAAAAAGTATATAAAGGTTTCTATCAAAAGTAAAGAAATCTATTTTTTAAATTTATAATAATCAATACTCGATTAGTTATGTTTTAAATGGATTAGTTTCGTGTGCCGTAGAATCAAATCTCTAACTTCATCTATAGATTCTTTTATTAGGACGCGCTAAATGGAAAAAAAATAAATTATTTTGGGGGCGGAGAGAATACTGTGTTGCTGGGTGCGCGTTTTGCCGGCTAGCGCTGAAATTCTTTGGCCGGAGGCGGCGAGGCGCTTCGCGCCGGGACCTACCGACGAATCCATCCAAAATTTAGGAAATGGTTACCGGTAATGAACTAATGTTTTATGTGATCAGCCGTACAGCTCTGGCTCCAAAGTTTTTGCAGCTCGGTATTTTTAACTTTAGAAATTATAGGTCAGGATTTTAAATTCTAGAAATTATAGATCTAGAAATACGGAGTATGATTACATGGATAAGTAAATTATTTTGATTATATTTTTAAATAACACAACCACTCTAATTTAACTTTGAAAAGTCTAAATCCAGCGCGAGTGAGTTGTGATCTGGAGTTGTACCGAACACGGTCTAAGGTTATGCTTGGTTTAGATTCAAAAACGATTCTAAGTTTTGGATTAATTATAGCGGATTTACGTCCCCAATTTCGCTGTTCAATTTTCTTCTTGCGATGGTTAACGAGACAAGTAAATTTTTTTTCCTTCTTAAAATCATCTTTTCTTTAAACTATTTTTCGGAACGTAAAAAGTTTCGAATTTTAAAATCGTTGCCTGCTGCTTTGCTTGGCACCGGAGTACGTTATTGGAAAGAATGGTTCGCTTTCAAGTTTAAAGATTCGGTTGGCGTGGATGACCATGAATTCATGATGGTCTGTCTCAGCTCCGTTCAGTCTCTGTCCCTCAAGTCCTGGACCGCACGGAGGGCGACCCCACGCAGCGCACATCGCCCCATCAGGTTGTGCCTTTCTACTTGTCAATAAATATATTGTCAAGTCTATAGGAGTATGTTGGACGTTATCCATCCCCGTCCTGGAAATATCTCGCTTAGGATAGTCCCAACCCATAGTATTCATAAGTAATGTTTATAGTACCATGTCAATAAGACATTATAATAGAAACTACACTCTACAACCCATGGTTTCTTAAAGTGGGCTATTAATAAATTGTCGGCTCTCAAAACTAACGATTCGGAAACCGACATGTTTAACTGTATCAAGCCCTGGATCAGTAGATTGATACAGGTTCAACAATTTAGATCTTCATCGCATACATTTGGTAAAGACTCCAAAGGAGATATCTTTATATAAAATAATAGGACATTTACAAGTTTGTGGCTAACTATTACAGCAGAGGCTATACGATGACTCAACTCTGCCGTTTTACTATAGAATTAAACCATCTAACTACACTAGACTTGAAGATTAGGTTTAAAGGGAACTAACTTATGTGATTGAACTCCCAGCTTCGGCAAAAACTCCAATTAAACTCTGAAAAAGAGGGGTTGAAGCAAGGGTGAGTACAACGTACTCAGCAAGCTATTATATTAACCAATAATGAATATATGAAATGGTAATATCTGTGTAGAGCTAGGTTTACTTGCAGAAAGCTGAGAATAAAGAGGTAGAAATCCTGAAATGCTTGATATGCAACAGTATTTAAGAAAATCTTGAATTATATTTCTAACCAAAGTACCATATGAGTCCCGATGCTCAATCCGTGAGCACGGCTATTCGAATAGATTCAAGGATATTCATATTGCAGTAGATGTACGCTTTACCCGCAGTCTACGACTTGCCAATAATCATTAGCTTAGTCATGGCCTAGTATTAGGTTATTAACAATTGTGGCACCTGTTCCATGAACTCTAGTCCACATGCGCTCTGAATGTAATGTTATCAGCAGCGAGAGGAGTTCTGGCGTTCCCGGGGTTTTTAGAGAGAACTGGATGAGAGACCCCATGTCATCTCAACCAGGTTTTCATAAATTCACACACACATCGCGCGATAATCAAGATATTTACCTGCGCCTCGGTAAATATCACATTTGCCCTTCGCGGCATATATTTGCCTCCTTCGCGAGGACTTATATAAGAACCACTGTACAGAGGTACCACATTGTTAATTAACATAATATCTAGGTCTGTCCCCATTCTAGAAGCTGCGATCGTACTCGTTCGTTTGACATAAGTACTTGGTAAACTTATATCGACCGAGACAGTACTAGCCACCCGGAAATCAACCAAATCTTGCGTACTGTCCCAATCTAAGTTCATTATGTTTTATGCAATCTAACTAGGCAGGGCTAAGCAAAAGCTAGCATATAACTGGTTTGCTATATGTTCAGATTATGCATTCAAAATCATGAATGGCTAATGCATAGAATAGAGATATAGAATATAGGATAATTATGCTCAAGGGGAGGAATAATAACTTGCCTTGCTCCAACGCAAATAAATCCAAGATAGGCAACCTGATTATACGATTCTCGAAATACCATAGGTTGCCATCCAAAAGACAATAGTCTTTACTGAGAAAGAGGAAGAACCAAATTCAATAAAAGCCATAAAATAATAAGAAAACGATAAACGACTAAGAGGGCTAGGGTTTAAGGTATAACCTATCTCTTTTATAGGGTATAGGGATTATGGGGCTAGTATTTGCTAGTGGTAGGTTTTGGTAGTATAATAGCTAGGGTTTAGTTATATGGGAGTCGACTGTGGAGTAGGACAGTATCTCGGCTAGGCTCTATATTTTATGTGGAGGCTCTCGTGGTTTGGACGATAGGAAATATACTGGATAGTTGATATGGTTAAATAGGCATGTGGCTAATATGGGTTAAGGTTGGCTTTGATAGAATAGTGGCTAAGGTTTAGTTGTTTAGGCCGATATCGAGGTAGGATAAATATCGGCTAGGGTTTTGGGTGTTTGCTAGTTGTCGCTAGAGTTGGACAGCATGACGACTAGGTTTGGTATCATTTCTAGCCGTGTCGATAGACAACATATCGGCTAGAAGAATAGGAGGTGGGTGCAGGTTTAGTGGGGCGGAAGTGTTACTCCGACAACCGTGAGTGGCGGCAGAGCGGCTAGGATCACACAGAGCTCAAGAGCTAACTGTGCGGCGTGCAATGGAGGTCGAGGGGATAGTGAAGCTCCGACCGCTGTACGCATCAAGGCGTGGGGTGGCAGGAGCAGCACTTCGACCTTAGGTTTGGTTTTTGCCGGGCTTTACAACCAACGGTCCGACGTTGAGGTCCGTAGACCGCGCAAACGTCCCCATGGAAGGCGTAAAGTTCCAACCGGCGGCTTTTTAGTGGCTAACGGGCATTTTGGAAATAAAAGAAAATATTTGAAAAGCAAATATAAGTTTAAATTGTAAATTCAATTATAAGATTAAATCAAATATTTATTCAAATGGCATTTGAATAAATTAAGGAAATTCAAATAAAATCTTAAAATAGCAAATTTGATATCAAAATGAAGAGTTGAATTTAGATGAATTTAGGTCCAAGTTTCACTAGAATCGGATCTACGGTTTAGGAGATATGTGCTTCTAAAGAATAGGATTTGAATTAAATCTAGAAAATGAGAAAAGTCACTGTGCAGGGGCCCACCTGTCAGTCTTTCTTTTTCTTTTTCTTCTCCTTCTTCTTTCTCCCGTCATCTTCTTCCTCTCTTCTTCTTTTTCTTGCCGGCTACACAGGAGAGGGAGAGAGTGGGCGCCGGCTCTCCGGTGGACGAAAGGCGGCGACGTCGGCGGCCACACATGTTCCCGAGAACGACGCACCTGGGGTGGGCGGTGGCTGGCGGAGAGAGTGAGGGAGATGGCCGGAACGGCGAGTAGAAGAGCTTATCTTCGGCGGCAAAGAGAGGTGGCGGTGGTGGTTGCTATGGGGTGGGGGAGAAGGGGGAAACAGGAAAAATGGAATCACCTCGTCGAGGCGAACTCGATGGCGCGATGGTTTGGCTTGCGAAGCTCCGGTGAGGGAGATCGGGTGGTGGCGGCCATGGCCGGACATGGGAGAGAAAGAGAGAGAGATGGAGCTCTGATTGTATGTAGAGAAGGGGAGGGATGGCCGGCTATTTATAGGGGAGAGAGGCGGTGGTGAAAGGCGGTTGTGGAGGAGATCGAGAAGTGCACGGGCGACGATGGCGTGAAGATTCGAACTACGGCGGCCGGCTTCGTTTCCTTAGCGGCGAAGGAAGAGGAGTTGGCGGCGGCGTGAGCCGTGCACAGGAGGAGGGGGCGGCTCGGTTGGGGTGTGGGCTGGTTTGGGCCGGCTCGGCTTAGCTGGGCCGGCAGCTCAAGAAGGAGGAGGAAAATAGAAGATAAAAGAAAAGGGATTGGGCCAAAAAGGAAGAAAGAATGGAGTTTCGGCCCGATGACAAAAAGAAAGAAGCCTAATTTGAATACTTGATTTGGATAACTAGGTTTTGCAAAGAATTTGAATTTGGAAAGAATTCACAAAAGAGATTTCCTAATTTATTTGAGTGCAATATTTAGAGGTGGAGTTTGAGGGAATTTATTTGGAAGCACTCAAATAGGAATGGAAATTAATAATATTCCTCAAAATATTTTTGGGAATATAGAAGGGAATTAGTTGAAGGCAATAAATAGGATTTGAACTCTAAAATTGGTGTTATGTATATTTGTGGCTAAAAGGGGAAGTTGAGTGAAGAATATAAATTGGAATTTTCTTAGCACAAGAGCAATTATTCACAATATTGCAATAATACAATTCTTGTGCCGAAGAGGAAATCAAGCCA